AAGCCAGTCAATGGAGACAACCTGTCAATGGAGATAACATGTCAATAGAGACAACCCGTCAATAGAGACAACCTGTCAATAGAGACAACCTGTCAATTGAGACAACTCGTAAATGGAGACAACCTGTCAATAGAGACAACCTGTCAATAGAGACAACCCGTCAATAGAGACAACCTGTCAATAGAGACAACCCGTCAATAGAGACAACCTGTCAATAGAGACAACCTGTCAATTGAGACAACCCGTCAATGGAGACAACCTGTCAATAGAGACAACCTGTCAATGGAGACAACCCGTCAATGGAGACAACCTGTCAATAGAGACAACCTGTCAATAGAGACAACCTGTCAATGGAGACAACTCGTCACAGGAGACACCCCATCAGAAGAGACAACCCGTCAACAAAGACAAAACCACCTACCAACAAGATCCAAATGGCATCTGTAAGCCCATTCCCGACATCACAATGCTGATACTACACCATACGAGTGCAAATTTTTGGGCACTCAAGTGTTCAATTATCTTCCACCTTCGGATCACGAAAGGCTCGAAAGCCAATCTATATCCTCAGGTTTAAGAAAATTGAACAGGGGCAACTGTTGTACCCCAAAATTTTCCCTCTCAATTATCAAGGCCTTTCTCACAAGGATTCTCAAGGTTCAAGCTTGCACAAGTACTTTGTAATTTTCCAGTACCAAAATTAAAAGGAAACTGTCAAAAAAGGAGAAAACAGATAAAAATATTATTTTGACAAAAATTGGAGAAATACAAGTGTTCTTTGTTTCAGCTCCTTCGATTGGCCTTTTGACCTCTTTCGACACAAGCTTGGCTTGCATCCTTCGATTGGCCTTTTGGCCTCTTTCGACACAAGCTTGGCTTGCATCCTTCGATTGGCCTTTTGGCCTCTTTCGACACAAGCTTGGTTTGCATCCTTCCATTGGCCTTTTGACCTCTTTAGACACAAGCTTGGCTTGCATACTTCGATTGGGCATGGGCCTCTGACACAGTTTGGTTTGGATTCACAAGGAAAAGAGCCTCTTGTAATCTATTTCATTTCCAAGGCAAAAGGCTCACTTTTAACATCCTTCGATTTGCACCTCTTGCTCCCTATTTGTCTCTTTCGAATATGAACATTTTGTCTTTCGTTTGACCACATGTACCCCTTGGCGTGCAAGCTTTCGATTAGACATGAGCCACCTTAAGGCACATTTGGCCCCTTCAAACGATGCACAAAGGTGATTTGTTCGAAGGACACTTGTTGGAAGAAAGTCAAACAATATGTTGGAAGAAGAATCTGGTCGAAGGAGGGTCAAAATGAAAGGATGAAATATTCAAAGATGCTTGCTGCCAAGTTCAGGCATGGTACACTGGCCAAAAATGCTGCACAACAGTCCTGAAACACTGCCCCATTCTTGCACCAAAACAGCATACAACCACTGTCCCTCGAAGGCTGCAAAGAGCAGTTTACCCAAATTGTTCAAATTATTTTGTTTTCCCTCCAAAAGCTTCAGTCAACTTTGCCTATAAATAAGAGGCTCCAACACATGTTTAAGGGAGAATTTTTGGACCAGAGGAACGAATCTCCCAAATTTTCTCAAACACAAAAAATCTCTCAAGTCCCTTCAACACTTGTGAGAACAAACCCAGAACCACATACTTACTTCCTTCGATTCTGAAGAACAAGTACTCTTCAGTATCCTTTGAATCCAGTTTGGAAAGAAACATAAGACTTGTTTCTTTCCTTCCTTCGAATCCAGCATTCCAAGCACAACTGTTGGCCCCCTGTTTCGAATCCAGCATCTTGGGCCCCCACTCAAGGTCCCACATCCATTCAAGGCCTGAAGCAAGGTAAGTCACTCTTACCCTTGAACCTTTCGTTTCATGGCATAGTATGTGAATAATCTTCCCTTTCATTTCAAAACATGTACATAACACTTTGTTTCTTTTCGTTTCCACCTACTTAATACGTTTTCAGAGCTAAACCCTTTCGTTTTTGCTTTCTGTTTACCTGAACTTGCTTTAACTGTTAAACTGTTTACCAAACAAATACTAGCATGGCCTCAGGCCATGTTGCCATTTAATGCTTTAAATGAAAGAAACAGGAAACAGGAAATAGGAAACGAAGCTTCTGGCTTCTATTCTCTTTCTCCAGGTCGAACGAAAGAGACAACCAGGAGTATGAAACGAAGCCTTTGGTTTCCACACTGACTTCCAAGCCCATCCAGAGACACGCTCACACTGACTTCACTGGCCCAATCGAAGAAGGCAACAAGGCAGAAAGGCCCAGCCAGAGGAACACTTGCACTAAGTCCAGGCTCAGACGAAAGGCACTCCCATGCTGGTGCCAGCCTCCAATCGAAGTACATGACCTGACTGGTGCCAAAGCCCAATCGAAAGACGTGACTTTGATGTTGCCAGCCCCAATCGAAGGAGGCCAACAGAATGCAAATCGAAGGCTGCTTCCCCCCAATTGAAAGACGTGACTTTGCTGTTGCCAGCCCCAATCGAAGGAGGCCAACAGAATGCAAATCGAAGGCTGCTTCCCCCCAATCGAAAGACGTGACTTTGCTGTTGCCAGCCCTAATCGAAGGAGGCCAACGTAATGCAAATTGAAGGCTGCTTCCCCCCAATCGAAAGACGTAACTTTGCTGTTGCCAGCCCCAATCGAAGGAGGCCAACAGAATGCAAATCGAAGGCTGCTTCCCCCCAATCGAAAGACACTCATTTTTCTTACTTTTATCTTATTTTTTCCTTCATACTTTCTATGCACTTCAATATGGTTGTAATAGTGTAGGATTTATTTTTTGCACTTTTTATTACTTTTGTACAAATGCTAGTAACTAGGTGTGTATGGCAAGATAAAACCAACAAGTAGACAACCTAAAAATCAAAGACAAATGCATGCAATAAAACACACTTTGCACATATGCACTCTTAGGGTACACCTCACTTGGTTGCCTCGAATATGGTCATTGAGTATAGGAAGTTTTAGAGGTCGCCCTCTTGTCCCAAGATCATAGTTGCCTCGAAACGGTTGCCTCGGAAAAATGATCTAGGACATTAGGGTTACCGCTAAGGCATCCTAACATTGCTTTAGTGACCATATGTCCCTTAATCAAATTGACCCGAAAACTCCAACGATGATGCTACTTACTCCTCAATAGTGGGATAGCACTGTCTAAAGGACATTTGCACAGTTTAATTCCTTTTTGAGTAGGTAGATGTCCTTAAGTACTTGCTCCTTTTTAAAACAAAACAAAACTTTTCGCACTTACACTCTCTTTCAAACAAAAACTCTTTTCAAACCCACAAACACAAAGAAAAGCAAATTTTTGAAAACACAATGAGCAAGTACCTAAGAGCCCGTGGATAACCACGGATAGAAAGGGTGCTAACCCCTTCCCTTTCTATAATCTACCTCCCGAACCCGAGAAATATCTCAAAAAGAAATTTTTCTGTGCTTTTGTCCTTTCCTTGTTGGATAAAATAAAAGACGGTGACGACTCTTGCTTACCGCGACATTTTGTGAAAACAAACGCAAACGCGAACCAGCATTCCAAAACAGTTAGTTCTCGTTCCCACCGATCACACATATCTTGATATATCATTTGTGGTCAATTTATAAGTAAGATAGAATTGTTCACCTACACTAAGACATTGAAAAGAAGTCAACCATATACTTCATTATCTTAGAGATGAGGTTACTTGTCAGGTTCTTACAATGGTAGATCAAAAACAAATTATTTGTTTACATGTGATGATACAACCATTTCATAGAGATCTATGAAACAACTCATGACAACAACTTCATCAAATCCTGCATAACTATTAGCGCTACATGAAGTCACTCAGAAGAAAAAACTTTTAACAACTACTACAAAGAATATCGTCTCACATATAAATGTATGCATGAGGGGGAGAAATAAATATGTTCTGCACTCTTTTTCCTTTCATCACGGTTTTTTTTCAATGAGTTTTTTTTATAAGGTTTTTAACAAGACAAGTCACGTTCAAATGATATTGTACTCTTTTTCCTTCACTAGATTTTTTTTCCACTGAATTTTTTCTAGTATGGTTTTAACGAGGCATATCCTCAATGAACATCCGAGGGAGAGTGTTATGAATAAATATTATAGTGGATGTCCATATATATTCTTATCTTTCATTTTCATATTCCCTATTAAGTGTTATAGTAAGGTTATGATTTTTTACTTTCCCAATGTCCTATAAATAAGAACCACTTTCCAATATAAAGAGAATTTCTTGAAGAAAATAATAGAATTCCACTTTCTCTCTTACTTTCCTTGATCTCTATGTTGTTTTCGTTAATTTCATAACACAATCTATTCATTAGTATTTCGTAATGGATTTACGTTCATCCAATTTATCTAGAAATATTTATCTAAAATAAGACATTTTATAATAAATAATATCTTTTAAAGAGTAAACTTCAATAAAATTATATATTGAATGATAAATATATATTTTTGAATAGATTAAATTTATTAAATTAAATAAAAATATTAGGGAAAATACAGAAAATAAATTTTACTATATTTTATTAAAAAAGAATAAAATGTCTATAATAGAGCTCTAATGTTGACAATCATCCTTATTAAATTATTAATTTAAATATTATTTTTCTGTTTTTTTAATTATTAATTTATATTATTTGAAGTAACCAATTGGATCTTTAAAATAAGTTGAATTTGTTTTAAATTGATGAATTATTCAATCTATTATGTAATTTTTATTTAATATATAAATTAATTAATTGATCAAATTCAATCCTTGGGGCTTAGTAAGCAAGCATAATCTGCATGGCCATAATACATACAACCTTGTAATAACATGACAATATGAAAACATTCATATCTCTTACAAAAAGAATCAATAATCTTTCCATTACATCTGAACAAAACAAGTGGTACAACTTAGCGTCTCTTCTGGTTACAACCTTAGTTCATTATTCCTCTGATTATGCATTCATAAAAATGATTCTACTTCTTTGCTCTATCTCCTCTACCCTTTGATTTTGCATCAAAATGATGAGACTTCAACTTCTTTTTGCGAACTATTTCAGTAACTTCAACTCCCTCTTTGAAGGGCATGCCCATGAGAGCTAGTAATTTCTGTCCTTCTTGATCAGTTTTAGCAGTTGTTGAGATGCATACATCCATTCCTCTAGGTGTACCAATAGCAGATTTCAGCTCGGGGAACACGGTTTGGTCCCGAATACCAATGTTGTAATTCCCATTCCCATCAAAGCTGCTTAAATTCAAACCTTGAAAATCTCTTGTCCTAGGAAGTCCTAAGTTGATAACGCGGTCTAGAAATGAGTACATTATCTGTCAAAAATCAAACAATAGATATTAGATTTCAGCTTTATAGAAAGAAGTTCAAACTGATGCTAAACTGTAATGTACTTGAATAACAATTTTTTTAATAAAGAAGCTCAAACTGATAACAGATTCACATACATTGCCATAAATAATCAATTTGTTTGACACAATTGAAACTCCATATATAGTCTCATTCAGTAAATTCCTAGTAAGCACCCTTTTTCAACACCAATTGTTGAAAAATCTATACCCTTCACAACAACAACACAACAATCAAATCAAGTCATATCCTAGTAAGTGTAGTCGCTACATGGATCAAACAATGTCATAATGTTCTATCAAACACCATACTTATCCAACTCAATAATTTCAAGGTTTCTTAATAGTTTCACTATTAATTGTTCTAGGTCTTTTTCTACCTCTAGCGGTTTGTCTACCCTCCATCTGATCTACTCTACTTACTACATAATTTACAGATCTTCTCTCTACATGGTCAAACCATATAATCCTAGTTTCTGCCATCTTTTTAGTATAGGTGTTACTCCAACTCTCTATCTAATGTTGTCATTTCTAATTCTATTTCATCGAGTCTTACCACACACTACACAGAAGAAAAACCAAAGTTAACTTAACTTTTGACAACCGATGTACCATTTTCAAGATAAAGGGCAATACTTTTACATATTTTGTTTTGGTATGTGGAAAAAAACATTTTCTATTACAAAATCATGTTTGATCAATGGAAAGCATATATCATGTCAACATAGAACATTCTCAACTGCAAATACCTGTCCTAATACCTGTCCTAATACCTGTCCTGTGTTTATTTTAATCACAAATAGAATTATGAATCTGCACATTTGTAAAATACTATTTAGGTATTCAAGTTCCATTGCCAACATTCAGAAGTACTACTAGGTACTATCTTACAAGTTCAGATAAATATGCCTTACTAAAGAAATGAAATATTATCCATCATTTTCAGCTATCATTCACCTAAGTTATCATCTCATTCATGCCAATAAAATATAAATTCACAGGCCAATTTCAATCGAATACTAAATGCTCACTTTTCCTCGGAGTGTCACAGCAATTCCAAGCGGTTGACCTTCCCTGATCTTGAAGGTGGCAACAGCTATTCGCGCCCTAGTCTTAACAGGTCTCTGTCCGGTGATAAGTGCTAGATCATTAATCGCCGCATCCAAACCTTTTGCATTCTGTGCAGCTTCTCCAATACCACAGTTCACCACAATCTTATCAACTTTAGGCACCTGCAAAGAGTAGGGAAAAAAAAAACAATATTCAACATTGCAAAATCTGATTAAAAAACATCTTACATATCATATCATGCCTATAAAAACCGCATTTTTCACTTTAAATACAAAAATTGAAAAACAAAAACCTCATCAACCTAAAACAAATTTACATTTCCCCCACCAAATGTACCAAAACCGCAAAACCCCATCAACAGAAAACCAAAAAAGACTTGAACTTTCACTGATAAACCAAACAAAAACCCAAAATCAAATTTTTTGAAGGAATTCTCAATACAATAAAGAGAGAAAATTTCTTCAAACCTGATGAATATTGGTGTAAGAGAACTCTTCCGTGAGCAAAGGAACAATTTTCTCATTGTAAGTTGTTTTGAGTCTATAAACCTTCTCTGCTTCAGACTTCCCCACCAACACAACCCCAGAAACCGTGGCCTTCACGGACAGCACTGCACTTCCGTGGCGGTTGTTACCATGGGAAAACAATGAAGAAGAAGAAAATTGGGTTGGAAGAGTTCGAAATTGAGCGAGGAAAGAGGAGCCGGAGGAGTGGAGAAGCGAAGGAGCTGTAGCCATTGTTGTGGATTGAGGAAATATGGATAGCGTTGTTTAAAGCAAAATGGAAGGGGGTTTATTACCGTGTTACAAAGTGCCCTTGTTTTGAACCTTATTTACCAAGTTTGAGAAGAGTATAGATGTGGGACAAGATGATAAGAGACCATGGATAAGGGGTGGAAAACTAAACTATACAAATAAAAATACTCTAAATATTAGTTAGAATAATTAGAGAATTAATTTCATAGTAGGTTCAAATCACACTTGCTTGAGGTTAAAAATCTTAAAGAGAATAGTTATTTTGGTCTTTAAATATGTATATTATTTTGATGTTAAAATTGAAACCATGAAGTGTTATTCTTTAATGGAAAGTTGGCAAATTTTGGATTTAAGGAATATTGTATGGTATGATGTGTGTTATTGACTTATAACAATTATAGTATGAATGGCTGAGACGCAATTTAGTCCAATATATTTCTCGCAAGCCCGCTTATACAAGGAGGAATGTAGTGTATTTTCTTCAGTCCAACATAAATGTCAAATTTTTTAATATTCAAAAAGAAAATAATCACTCAAATGTTTCATTGTCAAACTCCTTTCTTTTTTCCAACTATTTCTCTTCCCTTAAAGCCCTAAGTTTCTTTATAATCATGATTGGAATCAGACAAGACACAAACATTTATGGAAAAAATAAGAAGATTGAGAAGAAGATCTCTAGAGGATATGAATTTGTTACTAATGTTCATGGTGTGCGCATGAAAGACATTGTGATTGGTGAAAAAATCGATGGTCAAGACAGAGGTATTTCTCCTCTCGAAAAATCTAAAGAGTTCGAGCGTAAAAAGTTGAAAAAGATTTGTGATAGCCCTACCAACTCTATATTTGATCTAACTAGTGTTGGGATTGTTGCTAACGTAACTATTAAGACGACTAAAGCAACTGAAGATATTTCTCATCCTTAGATGAAAGTCAACACCAAGAATACGACATTCAGTACACCACTCAGAAAGCAATCAGAGGTCAGTCAGTTTCTCTCCCCCTTTTAGACATAATATGTCAAATAAAAAACATGCATTTAAGAGAGTAGCAGTAATATAAGTACAGACCATAGAATCCAAGAGTGAAGCACATACAAGTGCAAAAAAGGAACAAAGGGGTCAAAATATCAAAGAGTCTAATTGTCTTCAGGACCAGTAGACTTGGTAGCTCTAAAACTTCCTTAATCATCAGAATCTCCTCCTTCAGTGCTCACTCTATCATTAAAGTTGTTGTTCTTCTGCAGCTCATTGATCATCTTTTCAAGAATTAGTTTTCTTGCTAAGCTAACTCCGATCACATCATCAAGTTCTTTGCAGACTTCCATTAATTTAGTAATCATGTCATCCTTGGTTGAGGTCTTGTTTTCAGAATATGCAGATGTCAAAACAATATCTGGGACATATTTTCCTGAAAATAACTTGAAGTGAAGGGTCAGAGCAGACTCCCTCTTGCAAACTACACCATTACCATTCAGAATTCCAGGATGTTGATTAAGAATAATTCCACAAATAATTGATGGAAAGGTAATAAGCATCTTAATAGCACATGTTCCTGCATGCTTAATAGTCTGATAAAAAATGTAAGTACTATAATCAAACAGTTTCTTGTTTCCAACAGCACAGATAAACTTTCCTAAGCCAATTGTAATGGTTGAGGTATGATTGGTAGGAACCCAGTTAGCATCTCCAATTTTGTGCAAGATAGCATATTTCACACGTAGCTTACTAACATGAAGCTTATTCTTCATGGGCCACTCACTTACTTGGTTTGCAGTGATGGCTTTGCACACTTGATTATCAGTCACTTCCAACTCATAATAATCATCTTCAAACCTATCCAGATATCTATTGATGACAGTAGGAGAAAATTCTACACATCAACCTCTAATAAACACCATCCTATACTCCTTACTTTTATGATCAACACAATCAATAGGAATATTAATAATAAATTCCTTAACAAGATTCTCATAACATTTTGCAAACCTGGTGACAGTCTTCATCAAGGCAGCAAAAGAAATCAGGTCCATAATCTCTTTGCACTCCAGTGCACCAGCTCCCAACTCTCTTTCAAGGGCAATTCTTCTTTGAAATACATATTTCCACTTTTCAGCATTCCCAAAATAATGGAAGGAAATGTTGTCAATATGAGCATTAGGTACCCTAGCAGAAAGCTTCTTGCTTGTAGACTTCATCACAGGAGAGATGTCCTGGACATCATCCTCGACATCATGATCAGAGTCAGTTTCTTCTACCAGTACAACTTTCTTCTTACTTTTAGATCTCTTTACAAGAGAAATGTTATGGACATCATCTGAGGAGTTATCAGGCCTGACTTTTCTTTTGTTGGAGGAAGGAACCACTTTACTCCCGAACTTTAGGGGATCATACATAGTCTTCTTCTTGTTAATCTTGGTATGGGGTGAGACATTCATAGTCTTAACCTTTCTAGACTTGAGCCTTTTAGCAATTCCAGGCACCATATTAGAAATAAGGTCATTGTCAGACAACTCATCAATATTCACCATATTATCAGCATTTGGATTCTTTGCAGATTTGGAGCCACCAGCATTTTCCTTAGCAGGAGAGTCCTTCTCAGAAGATGATGTCTCAACATCTTTCTCAACATTATCTTCCACTTCTTCTAGAACAGAAGTAGCAAGCTTGCCAAGTTCACTTTCAGCAACATTTTTCCTTAAGGCAGATGATTCAGCAGTATTTGAGGATCAGTTCTTTTGTCAGCCTGAGCAGGCATCCGGGAAAGAGGATTAGAAATCCCAAGCACAATAAAACCTTCATTTAACACCCTATCTACCAGCCTTATAATACTCCTATCAACATTAATAATGTCTTCTTCTGATCTATCATCAGTAGCAGTAGAAGCATTACCTTTAGAAGTGTCAAATTCGTCTTTGAATTTCTTTGCATGGGACGATCTGGGTTTCTTTACCTTCTTCTCAAGAGGTGGAATAGTTGATAGAGGAGCAACGACTAGGACTTTATCAAGGGAGAGGTCCTGAGGAAGGTTGATAGTCTTTGACCTAGAAGTCTTGGCTTCATCGGAAAAGCATTTTGAGGGAGACGAAGCATGATGTTGTGACATATTTGAAAAGTTTTGCATAGTGAGATGGAGAATAACAAGGGTTCTTTTTCTGTAAAGGAGAATTAAGAGGTTGTGAAAATAGAATGAGGTAATGTCGTAGCGTGTGGGAGAGTATTTAAGAAATTCTTGAAATGATTGCTTACGCAATTTGATTTGTTGGAAATATAAATAATATAATATCATTTTAATGATATTCCCACACGCCCTTAATTGCTACAAACCCTCATATATGCAGATCCCTAGTTTTCCTCTTAAGTTCTCAAATTGGTTTGCATCCAAATCCTTAGTGAAAATGTTAGCCAGTTGTAATGCAGTAGCTACATGTTCTAAGGCAACAATCTTTTCTTCCACAAGCTCTCTTATGAAGTGATGACGGATATCAATGTGTTTGGTCCGACTGTGTTGAATATGATTTTTTGATATATTTATGGCACTTGGATTATCACAGAATAATATCATGACATCTTGTTTGACATTATATTTTGTTTACATTTGTTTCATCCAGAACAACTGATAACAACTGCTTCCTACAACAATATACTCAGCCTCAACAGTGGACAGAGACACATAATTTTGCTTCTTACTGAACCAAGATATGAGATTATTTCCCAGAAAGAAACATCCACTTGATGTACTTTTTCTATCATCAACACTTCCTGCCCAATCAGCATCGCAATAAACAATTAAGGCAGAGCTAGATCCATGAGAATATAGCATGACATAGTCACTTATCCCATTCACATCTTTAAGAATTCTCTTCACATGGTTGGCATGGCTAACTTTAGGATCATCTTGATATCTATCACACACCCCTACAGCAAAGGCAATGTCAGTTATGCTAGCTGTGAGGTATAGAAGACTGCATATCATACTTCTATAAAGAATTTGATCCACACTTGCTCCTTTTTCATATTTAGACAACTTCAGATGTGTGGGAGCATGTGTTCTTTTGTGATTGGAATTTTCCATCCCAAATTTCTTTACTATATTCTTCGCATACTTTCTTTGAGATAATAATATGGAATCTTCCATTTGTTTAACTTGCAGACCAAGAAAGTAGGTTAATTCACCAACAAAGCTCATCTAAAATTCTGACTGCATTTGCTTGACAAAATGTTGAACCATCTCATTTTACATCCCACCAAACACAATATCATCAACATAAATATGTGCAATAATGATCTTCCCTTCTTCTTCCTTGACAAAAAGAGTTTTTTCTATGCCACCTTTCCTATATCCATTCTCACCAATAAATTCTGTCAATTTCTCATACCAAGCTCTTGGAGCCTGCTTTAATCCATACAGAGCTTTCTTCAGTTTGTACACATGTTTAAGAAAACTTGGATAAACAAATCCTGTAGGTTGTTCCACATAAACTTCCTCATTCAAATAGCCATTTAAGAAGGCACTCTTTACATCCATTTGAAACAGTTTAAATTTTAGAATGCAAGCAACTCCCAAGAGTAGTATGATTGATTCAAGTCTGGTCACAGGGGCAAAGGTTTCATCAAAGTCAACTCCTTCAATTTGAGTGTATCCTTGTGCAACTAACCTTTCCTTATTTCTAATGGCCACCCCTTTTTCATCAGATTTATTCTTGTACACCCATTTAGTTCCAATCACATTTGTATCTTCAGGCCTTGGGACCAGATCCCAAACTTCATTTCTACTAAATTGTTCTAGCTCTTCTTGTATAGAATTAATCCATAACTCATCAGTTAAGGCCTCTTTGAAATTCTTAGGCTCAATTTTTAAAACAAAGCAAGAGTTTGATATCCCTTCTCTTGATCTAGTAGTAACTCCTTTATTTAGATCTCCTATGATAAGCTCCTTAGGATGATCTCTCTGAGTTCTAATTGAAGGCCCTTTATTGAGATGAC